ACACTCACACGTGGTGACAGAGAACCTGGATTCTGCCTGCAGTGTGGGAGAAGCTTTGAGGGCCCTGCCTTCTAACCTCAAAGAAGCTTTGAGGTTACAGTGACAAATTTTCCTCCACTCCAAGCAGTGAAAAGACGTTCTGTCACCCTGGCTCATTCTGTCCCTCTTCATCCAGCCCTTGGTGTCTGGGGTTTATTTTCAGTTGGAAGGACTGGCCAGTTGGGCCTCCCACTCCATTCTCTGGCCCCTGAGGGTCCCTCTCCTCTTCCTTCTGTTGTGGGTTACTCACCTGGAATTGTTGCGGTGGAGATGCACAGAGCCAGCCTGCTCCAGTCTGTTCACCGCACCACTGTGGCAGTCCCCCGTCCCCCTACCAGGTCTACACGGACACGGAGAGCTTCCAGCCACACAGAGGCTTTACTGACCACAATGCCCTGGAATAGAAAGGCTTTCTGAGTGCCAAAGAGGAATCAAATTTGTGGTAAGAACAATGCATACGGAAGTATTTAGGGCCAGGTGTGGTGGCTCACGCCTGTCATCCCAGCACTTTGAGAAGCCAAGGCAGGTGAATCACGAGGTCAGGAGATCAAAACCATCCTGGCCAACATGGTGAAACCCGTCTCTACTAAAAATACAAAAATTAGCTGGGCGTGGTGGTGCACGTCTGTAATCCCAGCTACTCGGGAGGCTAAGGCAGGAGAATCACTTGAACCCAGGAGGCGGAGCTTGCAGTGAGCCGAGATTGTGCCTCTGCACTCCAGCCTGGCAACGGAGCAAGACTCCGTCTCAAAAACAAAACAAAACAAAACAAAACAAACAAACAAACAAACAAAAGCAGCATTTAGACAATGCAAAGTTTATGGACAGTGGGAAATTCACTGTGAAGCTGACGAAGCTGAACTTCTGGGCTCCGAACCTGTGAAACCTGTATGTGGGCCCCTCCTTTCTTTTTCCCCTTTATTAGACAGGGTCTTGCTCTGTCACTCAGGCTGGAGTACAGTGACAAAATCATAGCTCACCGCAGCCTCAGACTCCTGGGTTCAAGCCATAACCTCCCACCTCAGTCTCCTGAGTAGCAAGGACTGCAGGTATGCACCAACACACCCAGCTAGTTTTTACATTTTTTATAGAAATGGGGTCTTGCTATGTTGCCAGGGCTGGCCTCAAACTCCTGGGCTCAAGCAATCCTCCCACCTAGGCCTCTCAAAGCACTGGGATTACAGGCCTGGCCTGTGTGGACCCCTTCTTCCTAGGACCCTGGGAAAAAAATCTTAGCAATGTGCTTATGTGCTTGTATTTTTGTAAAATTGGCAAAAGGGAAATGCATTCTTGTCATTTACCCAGAAGAGAGGCAGACCAGAAATATTAGGTGTTCAGCACCACAGAATGCCAGACACAATCTTCAATACCTTGAAGGTCTTTGGAAGAGTTGTGCTTTAGACCTTCAGCCTGCCACCGTGTGCGTCTAAGAAAGCCCTTTATTCTCTGGAGGGCTGTGTCCATTTATGAAAGAGGTTAATAACGCTAATATTGATTGAGAACGCTTTGCTTGACATGCTCTGTTCTGAGCCCTTTATTCTTCCTCTTGATTCACCAACCATGCTATGAGGTAGGAGCTTTTATGATCTCCAATATATACGGGGAAACAAGCTAAAGAGAGTTGTGGTAATTTTGCTTAAAGCTGAAAGTGACCCAGTGACCCAGCAGTCCATAGATAGTTTTTTGGATGAGCATAGAAATTGACCGTCTGGTATTAAAGCTTGAACCTTATATTTGTTTTATCTGAGTTCCCTCCTCAGAGACCTTCAGGCCTCTCAAAACAGGTGTCAAAGAACTGGAACTCACCAGATCACTACATCCAGACAGTGAGATGCCAGACTCCTCATCCATCACAATTGCTTCTGTGCCCCTTCCTAGTTCCTGCTTTCTTACACATTGTTCCATTTCTTCCCCGCTATAGGACTCCCTAGTTTTAGTCCCTCAGGGAGATGGGCTTGAGACTGAACTCCCATCTGTTCTGCTGCAGCACCTGTTTAAAGCTTCTTCTTTGTCATTACTTGTCATCTCAGTCATCGGCTTTCTGTGCAATGAGCAGCAGGACCTAGATTGAACCCCTGGCGTTTCGGTGACAAAGCCACACAATTAGTAAGTGGCAGAGCAGGCAATCAAATCTAGATGTAGGAGTCTGGATCCAGGGCCCAAACTGCAGCTGCTGGCAGCACTGGTAGTTGCTGTTTTACTCAATTTCACACTAGTATATCTTGAATGCCTACTCTGTGCAAGACCCCGCTCATGAAAACCGAGACTGATGCATGGAAAACACTTCGGAGGAATCTTAGTGTTTTTAAAAGTATCATCGGATCAGCACTCAAGTAAAAAAGGCATTTCTAATTTATCAAATCTATAAAGGAGGAAAAGTTTGATTGCTTAAACATCCGTGTGTGTGTGTGTGTACATTATATATATATGTATAAAATATATACCCTTAGATTTTCCTCAAAACTGTAACAATTGGAGGCAGTTGGAAGAATTATTAGGATTAAAACCATGTGGAAATCTAATTCTGACCTAAGTCACTGTGTTTTGACCGCAAGGCCTCTCACGCCTCAGAGCACAGTGTGTACGCCTTTGTTCTCGCTGCCTCCCACTGAAATTCTGTCTCCTGTTTCCCAGCCCCCAGTCCATTAGGTCTGTCCAGCAAAGTTGTATGTGGTCACCTGTATGTGTTCTGCACCTACGTGGCCCCTGACACACAGGCTTTCCTTAAGACATTTGTTGCTCTGCTTCTCTTGCTTTTATTTATGAAATAGACAAATGAACAATGATTATAAATTAGCTCAAAGTTCATGATGTTCTTGCTATATTTGTCAAATCCCTTGCCAGGGTACTGGGGAACTGAAATCTCTAAATACTGAGAGTGATACTGAGAAATGCACTTTTAATAACTATCATTTCACCTAAATCTTGTGAAGGGGACACATAGGAAGACATTAACATAGTGTTTGTTTTTGCTTTGGGTCAAAATAGAAGCTTTTCAGGACTGGAACGCCAGGAAGCAGCCTGACCACTAGTGAGGTCTTCAAGGTCCACAGCAGACAGGTCTGCATTTCCTAACGCTTGTCTTTCCTTCCACCTTCCACGTTCAGCGGGAATTGCCCCATTCCCTATTTCTTTTTTTTTTTTTTTTGAGACGGAGTCTCGCTCTATTGCCCAGGCTGGAGTGCAGTGGCCAGATCTCGGCTCACTGCAAGCTCCACATCCCGGGTTCACGCCATTCTCCTGCCTCAGCCTCCCGAGTAGCTGGGACTACAGGCGCCCGCCACCTCGCCCGGCTAGTGTTTTTTTTTTTTTTTTTTGTATTTTTTAGTAGAGACGGGGTTTCACCGTGTCAGCCAGGATGGTCTCGATCTCCTGACCTCGTGATCCGCCCGTCTCAGCCTCCCAAAGTGCTGGGATTACAGGCTTGAGCCACCGCGCCCGGCCTTTTTTTTTTTTTTTGAGACGGAGTCTTGGTCTGTCGCCCAGGCCGGAGTGCAGTGGCCGGATCTCAGCTCACTGCAAGCTCCGCCTCCCAGGTTCACGCCATTCTCCTGCCTCAGCCTCCCGAGTAACTGGGACTACAGGTGCCGCCACCTCGCCCGGCTAGTTTTTTTGTATTTTTTAGTAGAGACGCGGTTTCACCGTGTTAGCCAGGATGGTCTTGATCTCCTGACCTCGTGATCCACCCGTCTCGGCCTCCCAAAGTGCTGGGATTACAGACTTGAGCCACCACGCCCGGCCTGACTATTTCAAGAACCCATTGACTGGTATGTCTTATCTTCTGTCTTGCCTTAGTCATATTCATCCCACATATGCGTTCCAGAATGCTCTTATGAATGAATCAATCTCCTATCTCCTGCCTTAAAATCCTTCCATGGCTCTCCACTGCTTACCAAACAAAGCCCCACCCTTGGCTTTCACAACTCTCCAAACAGATTCAGCTTCTATTTTCCTTCTGTCTCATGCCAACCCCAAACCACAATTAAACCAAAGTGTAAACGGCTTTTACATAAATCCTGTACTTTTCCTGGTCCTGGTTCCTTCCTGTCTGAAACTGACTTTCTTGATTCTAATCACACATTTTCACAAAATCTTTTTTTTTCTTCAGAGACAAGGGTCTCACTCTGTCACCCAGGCTGGAGTGCAGTGGCGTGATTGTAGCTCACTGCAGCCTCAACTTCCTGGGCTCACGCAATCCTCTCACCTTAGACTCCCAAGTATTTAGGACTTCTGGCGCGAGCCACCATGCCTGACCACATACATTCTCATAAAAAGCTTAATTTGAATCCCGTCCTCCCTCATCGCTTTTATAGATTGTTGCCTTCTCAGCTTTATACAGATATATCATTACCTTGCAATACAGCTCTTAGTTCCTCTCTTAAATAAGGCCTTGGATGGCAGAAACACATTTTAAACTTTGTAGTATACCCACACCTTGTCCTCCTGCAGTGCCCAAAAGTTCCTTAGTGTGCATTCAAAAAAGATAGCATTTGTTGTTGCTACAGACACATATTTTGTTCTCTCTAAACATTGGCTTGTGGTTAATGTCTTGCGTATTTTTTTCAATGCGGATGAGGGGATAGAGTAATGTAACGATAAGTTATAACAGAGTTCCCCAGGCTGGGCACAGTGGCTCATGCTTGTAATCCCAGCACTTTGGGAGTCTGAGGTGGGCAGATAACTTGAGGCTAGGAGTTTCAGAGACCAGCCTGGCCAACATGGTGAAACCCTGTTTCTACTAAAAATACAAAAATTAGTCGGACGTGGTGGCTTGCGCCTGTAGCCCTGGCTACTTGTGAGGCTGAGGCATGAGAATTGCTTGAACCGCAGAGGCAGAAGTTGCAGTGAGCTGAGATTGCGCCACTGCACTCCAGCCTGGGCGACACGGCGAGACTCTGTTTCAAAAACAACAAAAACAAAAAGCAAACAAACAAACAAACAAAATAAGGTCTCCTAAAGTCCCCATCTTTGAATCTTACTTTAATTCTACTTTCACACATCATAAACAATGCTTAGTTTGCAAAGTTATTAATAATTAAAGGAGCTTGCTTTTTAAAAGCCAAACTGGACGAGTTTTATTATTCCAAAATCCAGTTAAGTGTTTAATCAAATATAATTAAACATTTAAAAATAGTTGTAAAGGCTTACAGATAAAATAAAAATCAACTTTAGTAGAACCAGAGGTGGTGAAGGATAGATTTATCAATGTGATTAAAAATATTTAAAAAGAGGCATAGCTGGCCAGGCGCGGTGGCTCAAGCCTGTAATCCCAGCACTTTGGGAGGCTGAGACGGGCGGATCATGAGGTCAGGAGATCGAGAGCATCCTGGCTAACACGGTGAAACCCCGTCTCTACTAAAAAAAAATACAAAAAATTAGCCGGGCGAGGTGGCGGGCGCCTGTAGTCCCAGCTACTTGGGAGGCTGAGGCAGGAGAATGGCCTAAACCTGGGAGGCGGAGCTTGCAGTGAGCTGAGATCCGGCCACTGCACTCCAGCCTGGGGACAGAGCAAGACTCCGTCTCAAAAAAAAGAGGCATAGCTTCAGAAAAGGAAACAAAAACTCAAAAAAAATATTCAAAGTGTTTATCATGAAGAGAAACACTGCATACCATTCCTAGACCACAGGCTTCTTAATATGAAACCCAACGAATATTCAAAATTCGAAAGCCTCAGCCCTTGATATTTAGGCAGTCCAGAAGTAGAAATATACCCTAAATCACAGCTTAGGAGTAAGTTTCCCAAATATCCATTTTATCATGATTTACATTCAGAGGTGTGCTACCCAGGGAAACCTCCTGCATCTGCAGCTGTGGCACAGAAAACGACACAGACGGGAGGGCGTTCCCCCATTTCCCCTTCCCACACCTTTGCTCTAGAGTCAGGAAGAGCCTCAGTGAAAGTCCCCAGGCCCCTAGAGGAGGGATCCGGTGAACCAGCAAAGTGCAGACTAATCAAGATGAAGTGGATCCAAGAAAGGACTTTGGTTTGATGGTGAATCTTCACTGGTCACCTTTCTGGCATTAGGAAAACAAGGTAGCATGTGTTCTTCCGACACTTCTCACTGAGGCCAGCTCTTCTGGTTCCACTGGGGATTCTGCTCCAGTCTGAGACCCGATGCTGCTACCAACACACAGGGTGCAGGTCCTGCCCTAGAGGAGCTCAGCCCTGGGGTCTAATCCATGATCCCTTTGGAAGAAAGTGGCCCACATGGCACCACTCAACACTGACTGCGGTCGCACTGAACTCCAGGCCAGAACAAGTGTGGGCTCTACTCCTGAAGCAGGCTTCTAGAGATCAGCATCCTCATCACTTCATTGCTACCTGTAAGAGGGAGGAAGAAGGAAGAATTTCATAGCAGCAAAGTCTGAGAGTTTAGTAAAGCTCTGACCAGGCTGCTCCAGGCCTAGCTCAGGGTAGCTGCAGATTTAAACCAGAATCATTGCTTTTAGCCTGGGAGAGATGAGATTTTTAGAGACTTCTCTACAAAGTACTGAAAAATGTCCAGAAATAATATTTACTTTTTAAAAAACTTACTGATAGTAAAAATGCTTATGTAAAATTTAAAAAGGCAGAATAAAAACAGTATATACGAGATAATCCTAATTAAAATTAAAAATGTACCAACAAAGGCAGAGTAAAATGATTAAAAGGAGATATACCAAAATTACATTCTGGATGTGGAAACATGAGTGATTTTTTTTTTACTTTTCTTTTTCCTTTTTTTTTTTTTTGAGACAGTCTTGCTCTGTTATCCAGGCTGGAGTGCAATGGTGTGATCTTGGCTCACTGCAAGCTCTGCCTCCCAGGTTCAAGCAATTCTCTTGACTCAGCCTCCTGAGCAGCATGTGCCGCCACATCCAACTAATTTTTTGTATTTTTTGTATTTTTTTTAGATGGAGTCTCACTGTCGCCCAGGCTGGAGTACAACGGCACAATCTTGGCTCACCGCAACCTCTGCCTCCCTGTGTTCAAGTGATCTTCCTGCCTCAGCCTCCCGAGTAGCTGGGATTCCAGGCATGCACCACCACGCCCAGCTAATTTTTTGTATTTTTAGACAGTCGGGGCTTCACCAGGTTGGCCAGGCTGGTCTCGAACTCATGACCTTATATGATCCACCCGCCTCGGCCTCCCAAAGTGCTGGGATTACAGGCATAAGCTACTGCACCCAGCCTACTTTTCCTAATTTTATAAGGTTTTAACAATAAATACAAATTTCTTTGGTAATCAGAAAACTGATTTATAAAAGAACAAAAACATTTTCCCTGAAAGGCGGGTATTAATTATTTCCTTCACTTTTAGCAGTGGCCTTTAATGTAAAAAGAAATATAAACTCCCTCGAGCAATCAGTAGTTACATCGTCTCAAATAAAGCATAAATTGTAGATTTATCCAACAGTAAAGTCCATGATGAAACAAAGTGGTAAAGTGATAAATGTCCCAATTCTTTTATAAGTGGGTGATGGTGTGGCCTAAAATAAATGTTTTCCTGCTTATTATTGCAGGGTTGAGAGACAGTCAGAATGAAGGCAAAGTTTCCCATGCACATAAAGCTCTGTGAGAAAGCAATTCCAAGAGTAATGGAAGGACGAAGACTCTGGGGAATTCCGTTTGAACCCTGGCGACTGAGCCCATAAACATCTTTCTGGAATGAGGTTTGAAGCAAGCAGCCGTCTAACCTGGGGTAGCCTGTGACTCTGACATTAACACCAGAGTGGTGGGTCTCAATGTGTGGTTCTCAGACAAGCTGCGGCAACCTCACTTGAAGACTTGTTGGAGATACAAATTCCCAGGCCCACACTAGACCCTCTGGGGCAGAAGCTCTGGGGTTGAGGCCCGCAATCTGTGCTCCCATGCCCTCCAGGCGATTCCAGCACAGGCTGAGGTTTGCAAACAGTGCTGTGAAAGGGGCAGGGAAGCCCCATTATATAATGTTTCCAGCAAGGCAGCCTCACGTTGCTTCACTGATGTCACTCGAAGAAGCCTCTGCTCCTCCTGCTTTTCCAAGAGTCGTGTCATTTCAAGACTTCCGCACTGGCCGTAGAGAGTGGAGACAGCCCGGCTCTGAGCCTGACCCCAGTGGCTTACACGTTTCCTAGACAGCATGTCTGTGACTACCAAGATACCCATATACTGATGGTTCATTTTATTGAAAAATACACTAGTAATATTGAGACAGGTATCTTTTAGGCCATCTGGCTGATAATCAATATAGAGCTACTGATGACCATACGGGCTCACATTTGCCCTGTACATCACTGTTCTTGGATCCCTGAGGACCACACACACTATCACTTTAGAGAAAACCACGGCTGCAGTTTTCAACATGCTTTCTCATCCATCATCTCAGTTCACCGTTCTCGCAAATCTACAGAAGAGCAGTAGCAGAGTGATCCGATGCCCACCCACGGTGACGAAGCTGAGTCTCTGGACTCCAGGCTGGAGCTGTTTTTGTGCACCAAGCCCCTGCCAGAGCAGCTCTGCGGAAAGGGAGGGAGGAGGAAGCCTCGAGACAGACAGGGCTTGACTGGACCCTGAGGTCCGGGAGGCATGGGGACAGACACACTGGGGAAAGCAGCGATCCCGCCCCCGTTCTGAAGGAAGAGAATAACCCCTGGCAATTTTTACCTTCTAGAATCTGGTGGACCCTGGAGTCCCGCATGTACTGCTGAACAGCGTAATCCTTCAGGTAGCCGTAGCCCCCATGCATCTGTAAGGCCTGGTTGCAGATCTGCAGGGAGACAGGGATTAGATGTCTTGGACTCCGGGAAGACTGTGGAGCAAGCAGCTTCCCTTCCTACCCCAGCCCACGATCTGGCAGCCCGCCGTAAACTAATGAAAGAACCACAAACAGCCAAGCTCAAACAGGGCCTCCACATTCTGTATGGTTAGAGACAAGGAAGGTTCACCTACTAAACTTGTCAGTCCCCACCAGACAGGCGACTCAAAGCCCTCTGGCCCTCTGGCTTATTACCTGCCACGCACAAGCTGCCCACGGCCACCCTGGCTGGGATAAGAAGTAGTTATGGTTCCCCCTAGCGGCAAAGCAGCCTCAGTGTAGCTCCGCCCTGACAATGTAAACACGGCAGAGTGCTAAATTTGGGCCGCTGTGAACCTTCCAAAGGTGGTGTCTCACCTAGAACACAACCAAACAATAGTGACGTAATGAAGTATGTAATGGCATGCAGCAGACCCGAAAGCCAGCGATGAGAGCTCCCACGCAGGCCGCTCCTGGGTTAATTTATATCCTTCAGCTTAAGGTGATCCCCGTGGCATTCCAGAGGGCTTTGTTCCAAAGCTGACTCACGCCTCTCAAGACCCTGGGCCTAGCGGCTGTTCCCTGTCCACCCCAGCGGAGCCAGAGGAATCACTTACAGCAAAGCATTCATCTGTAGCAAAGAGCTTGGCCATGGAGCACAAGGCCACTGCCTCTTTCCTCTCTTCCTGCAGAGCCACTGCTGCGTTGCGGATCATCAGCCGTGCGGCCACCAGCCTTGTTGCCATATCAGCCAGCGTGAACTGCAAGTACTGCAGCACAGGGAGAAGAGAACCAGACAAGACTGAGGGGCTTAGACCAGCACCTGGTGCAGGAGCCTTGCTGAGACATCTCTGAGGCACCTTTTTCTAAGTGATCCAAAGCTTCACAGTCTCTTGCTTTTTCTAGAGGAAATTTATTGCTTTATAAGTGCTAAGTCCACTTCACTCACCCAACACTCTAGTATCAGTAAAGATATCCTGAGAGAAGATGGACAGAAATAAAGCACAAGCTCTGGCTAGGACAGTGGTGGGACTGGCAGAGGAATTTCCTGGCTTCTCTCCTAGAAAATGTGGGCCCTAGAGCAGGTCCCGGGCTGCAAAGAGTGGAAAGCCATGTGGAGGCAAGGGAGAGGTTACCTGGTTACTGGCCAGAGGCTCTCCAAACTGCTTCCGGACCTTGAGGTGGTCTCGGGTGAGGATGACAGAGGCGTGGGCAGCCCCCAGAGAGCAGGAAGCTAGAGGGGAAGAGCGCCGACGTTCCAACTGAGCTGGAAAACAGCACTGCTGGACCCAGACTGCCACCTCCCTGCAACCCCTTCGTGTCTCACCAATATTGATCCTCCCTCCGTTCAGTCCTTTCACGGCGATGAGGAAGCCCTGCCCCTCGTCCCCAATTCTGTTGGCCAAAGGGACAGCACAGTCTTCGAAGATCACAGCTCGTGTTGGCTGGGAGTTCCACCCCACCTGGCAAAAATCAGGGACTGTGTGGCTGCCCAGCAATCCAGCAGGTAGGGCGGCCTTCCCTGGAGACAGAAGCCTGTGAGGTATGGGTTTCGGTACCCGCGACTTACACCCGCGAGAACTTAAAATGAGGAGAAAGAAAAAGTTCAGGTTTAAAGGCCTGTCAGCAGTCAGAAAGGTATCTGTTTCAGCTAAACATTTCCTAACGTATTAAGAGAATCTACTTTCTAATGTCTACCCTACCTGACTTACAAACACTTCTCACAAATTCTTTCAGGATTGTGACACCAACTGCCCTCAATTTCAGTGCCTCTAATTGAAAACCACAAACTATCTAAAATCTAGTTCCTTTCTGGCACTGAAAATATGACTGCCTTTACATCATTTCCTTGCTCTCTTTTGTTGATAGGATAAACCTCATTTCTAAGCCTTTTATTGAAGGTCTTCCTGCCCAGGAGTTAGCATGGGCTTTGCATGTGGGAGAAGCCTAGGAAATGGCTGCTGTGTTACCAGAGAAGGGGGTGTTAAGATGCATAACGCCTTGTAGTTACGGAGGATCAGGAAGGATCCTGTAGGAAAATATGGAAACCTGAGGAGCTGTGAGAGATACACTTAGGAGTCATTTCATCACCTGCCTTCTCTCACAAAGTCCCCCCATAACAGTACAAACTAGAGAGAGATGACCGCTTTCAGCATCTGGTCTAAACAATCTGAATGGGTCTTGAGCCCTTATTACCAATTACGGTTACATAATCACAGGTCTCCTGTTCATGCCCTGGCCATGGCGGTTCTTCATCCTAGACGTGCCTTACTTTTCAAAGCACTTATAGTACCTAAGTGTCCTCCTTAGGTTGTGAAATACCCACAATGATCTCCAATGAGTTTTACTTTATTTTTCATCAAAGAAGACAAAGGGACCACGTGCCTTCCATTACTGAGACTTGTGGTCAATACCAGGTCTTCTCTCAGTGTCTCTTCCGGGAGCAGCAAAGCGCAGCAACGTAAGAAGCTGGATAGGAACACAGGCCAAAAGCAGAGGCAGGGAGGTCGGAACACTGACTGACAGGTGGCTTGTAGACTTCACTGGCAAAAGCTGTCACTCTCCCCAGAGGCCTGGTGTTTAACAATGCCCTATTATATTTTATACGCTCCTGTTGAAAATCCTAATAGAAACAACTGCTTCGAAAGTAGGTTAGCAAGTATGCAAACCTGTTTTCTGAAATAGCGCAGGAGTTGGGCTGGCAGGTGGCAGTCTCATAACCTGAATTGTTTCCTGTTCGACAGCCACTCACCTTTTTCTCCTTCTTGCCAAAGCTGAGGCCAGGGGTCCCCTTCTCAACAACTACACATGAGATGCCCTTGGGGCCTGGTCCTCCCGTTCGACACATGACCACATAGATGTCTGACTCGCCACCACCGCTGATGAAGGCCTGGAAGGGTAAAAGGGGTGCAAAAGGACCAGGGAATGCATGAGTTCTCACAGCATCTGGGAACACCACTGGGGTCCTCCTAACAATAAGGTCTAATGGCACAGAGACTGAGGAGGGGTAAAAGGTAGCTGCAGTGACTGCAGAATCAGAGATACAGTTCAACAGAGTATTAAAAGGATAGACAAAAGTCAATGAAATGATCTGGAATCAGACTAGGAGAGAGAGAAACAGTGAGAATAAAGAAAGAGAAATGGGTCAGAGGTTCTCTTCCCAACACATAAAAATCCTATGGGAGTATTAACCCACAGATGTGAAGGAATCAGAGGATGTCAGGAGGAAGCTGGGAACAATTTCCAAGGTGCTCTGGAAGGACGCACACTAGTACCTTGGAGCCATTGAGGATGTAATGATCTCCCTGTTTCTTAGCGGAGGTCAGAAGAGAGGCAGCATCACTCCCGCTTCCTGAGGAGAGATCAAAAGGCAGCAGAGAGAAGCTGAGAAATTCAGTGAGGTCGAGGGAGCCCAGCACAATTCTATCTCCTAGGAAATATTCCCTAAATAGACACTGCTCAGAGTGTGCCAATGCAAAATCCAGGTGGCCAAAGGAACGCTCTGTACTTGGTGGAAACTGCTCTTACCAGTCAGGCCACTGTCCACCTCCCAACACACCAGATAGGTCTCTTGGTCCTTGTGACATCAGGTCATAGGACTCTATTACTCCTCACCCAAACAGCTTGATAAACAGGGGCTCAACGTGTCAATAGGCTGGGAGGAGTGCTCGGTGACGCCGTCTGAGCAGGAAGCATCTCTCCCTGCTGTATCTCAGTGCAGTGTGGCAAACCCACCTGGTTCAGTGAGGCAGTAGGAAGCAAACTTCTCCATGGTGCAGAGCGGTGGGCAAAATTTGTGCCTCTGTTCCTCATTGCCAAAGCTATCAATCATCCAGGCACACATGCTGACAGGTACACCAAGAAGAAAAGACATTGACAGAAATAAAGATGGGAAAGAAAAAAAATTGGGGGAGAAAGGGAAAGAGAACAAAGGGCAGGGCAGTAAAGCAGAAGAGTGGGAGGGGGAAAGTCACAACTGGGAAGATTCTTTAAAGGAAAAGGCTGGATTAAAACATATTCCTGGAATAAGAACTACCCAGAGATAACCAGGCTGAGGCACTTCTCACCAGGTTGTCTGTACTACTTCTAGTCGGGTTACAAGAGCCTCTAAAAATCAGAGAGTTATATGTACTTTCTATGAGTAGTTTCTATTACTTCCTCAACTCACTGGCAGTTCCATCTCCGGATTGAGGAAAAAAGTGAGGGGGCCAGGCGTGGTGGTTCACGTCTGTAATCCCAGCACTTTGGGAGGCTGAGGCAGGCGGATCACAAGGTCGGGAGTTTGAGACCAGCCTGACCAACATGGTGAAACCCCATCTCTACTAAAAAATACAAAAAAATCAGCCAGGTGTGGTGGCGTGTGCCTGTAATCCCAGCTACTCAGGAGGCTGAGGCAGGAGAATCGCTTGAACCCAGGAGGTGGAGGTTGCAGTGAGCCGAGATCATGCCACTGCACTCTAGCCTGGGCGTCAAAGTGAGACTCCATCTTAAAAAAAAAAAAAAAAAGAAAAAAAAAAGAAAAAAAAAAAGAGAAAAAAAAAAAAAAGAAAAGGGTGAGAGGACCCCGATTACTTTATTGGAGAAGTCTCCTAGTACCAGCTCAAAATAAGATTTCTGAGAAAGCTGGCTGACCTGATTCCCTAAGCAAAACACAGGACAACAGAATCAAGTCCAACAGGCAGCAGCAGACCTAGCGTGTACTTTTTTTTTTTGTTTGCCCAGGCTGGAGTACAGTGGTACGATCTCAGCTCACTGCAAGCTCCGCCTCCTGGGTTCATGCCATTCTCCTGCCTCAGCCTCCTGAGTAGCTGGGACTACAGGTGCCCGCCATCATGCCCGGCTAATTTTTTGTATTTTTAGTAGAGACGGGGGTTTCACCATGTTGGCCAGGCTGGTCTCAAACTCCTGACCTCGTGATCCACTCGCCTCTGCCTCCCAAAGTGCAGGGATTACAGGCATGAGCCACTGCATCCGGCCCCTGTAAGTCCAGTTCCTTGAGGACACTCAGCCTCAAAAGATCAATCTTTTTCCTATGAATCTGAACTCTCACAGTCAGCCCATGTGAGTACTTCATTGTGCCTTCCAAGCTTGGGCACTCACTTGTGGATGCTCATATAGGCTGTGGTGCTGGTGCAGCCTGTAGCCAAGGCTTCAAAAATGACAGAGGTATCAAGCCGTGACAGTCCAGACCCACCCACATCTGTTTGTACGTAGACCCCTCCGAAGCCTAGCTGGGCTGCCTTCCGCATCACATCCACCGGGAACAGCTCCTATGTACAAAAGAGAGCAGGGTCATCAGCAACTGACTCAGAGACGGCCTTCCTTCTAGAGGGTTCAATGAGGGGATTAGGATGCTTGCACATGGGAGAGCACACGAATTCTCTTAACATGCCTGTTTGTCATCCTACAGTGGTTATCAGTTAACATGGGTCCTGTAAAAACTTTTTCTGGCATTAAGAAGTTTCTTTTTATTATCGATAGAACTGCCTTAGTTTTATATCCAAATCTTTATTCAATAACAAAAAAGAGTTATGTACAAGATGATCAGGATGCCTTCTAGGAAAAATCATCCACTACCATATTCTTACTTGCAGTAAGAGTTGGTAAGTGGAGGAGACATTTAACACTTAGATTATTAGGAGACGAAGATAAAGGTCTGCCTGAGACATCTGTTAGAATGTCTAAGCACAAGAAAAACTCCTACCTTCTGGTCCCACTCTGCCATATTTGGAGCCATCTCCCGGGCAGCAAAGTCAAAGGCCACCTTCTGAAATTCTTTCTGCTCTTCATTAAGTCCCAGGGAAGCTGTGGGCAGGATTTTGCATATACTCAGTTCCAGGGCAGGGTCAGGGAAGAGTGTTGCCAACAAGAAGCATGAAGCTGTGAAACTGGATCTACTGTAGTATTTCCCATACACAGTACAGCCTTTAACAGCTAGAGAATGGCGTCTTCTATCATTATTCCACTTGTCATATGGAGAAAGGACAGTTCTCACACACATCCAGATCAACCTAGAACAGGATAGGGGACTTCCAGACATCTCTTATCCTAGACACTTAGTAAGTGCAGTTGTAGACCCAGAGTTCGAGGCCACAGTGCTAGAATTTTGGTTATTATAACTGACACTAAAGAGCACTATGGGCCGGGCGCGATGGTTCACGCCTGTAATCCCAGCACTTTAGGAGGCCGAGGCGGGCGGATCACCTGAGGTCAGGAGCTCGAGACTAGCCTGGCCAACATGGAAAAACCCCACCTCTACTAAAGATACAAAATTAGCTGGGTGTGGTGGCGCATGCCTGTAGTCCCAGCTACTTGGGAGGGTGAGACAGGAGAATCGCTTTAACCAGGGAGGCGGAGATTGCAGTGAGCTGAGATCGTGTCATTGCACTCTAGCCTGGGGACAGAGCAAGACTCTGTTTCAAAAAAAAAAAAAAAAGAAAAAAGAGCTTTATGGGAAGACTATGGTGCCACACTTGACAATAATTTACTTCAGTGCCTACAAGCGATGCAGTCCTTACAAAAGAACACAAGTGCAGGTGCCAGAGTCTGTTCCTCGGGACAAATCCGGGCATCAGTAATGGCTGGCTATGCAAACCTGGAGAGGGCACCGTGTTCTGTGATCAGTACTCTCATTAAAACAGGAAAGTCAGAAATCAAGAGTTCTGAGGATTAGTCATCGGGCTGCCTTGAGAAGCTCAGAGCAGAAACCTATGTTGGGTATTACTCTTACGAGCAGAGTTAGGGATAAACAACTCATGGTTCTCTGACCGGGGTCAGGCCATTTATTCACACAATTTTGTACAAGAGTTGCTGTTGCTGTAGACCATGGCTCAAAGATCATTCCCAAAAGAATGTTTATTGGGTGTTTACTAGGTAGCAGTGCTGGGGTTACAAAAATAAATATGATCCGGCCAGGTGCGGTGGCTCACGCCTGTAATCCCAGCCCTTGGGGAGGCCAAGGCAGGTGGATCACTTGAGGTCAGGAGTTCAAGACCAGCTTGTCCAACATGGTAAAACCCTGTCTCTACTAAAAATATAAAAATTAGCTGGACATGGTAGAGTGTGCCTGTAATCCCAGCTACTTGGGAGACTGAGGCACAAGAATTGCTTGAACCCGGGAGGCAGAGGTTGCAGTGAGCTGAGATTGCACCACTGTACTCCAGCCTGGGCGACAGAGCAAGACTCCATCTCAAAAAAGTAAATAAAAAGATCCATTCACACAAAGGATGACCTCAATGGTAATAATGCATTTTATTTCAATCCTAGCAAGAGTTCATTAAATGCTAACAAATCTTCTTCTGTAAATAGCTACTTCCTAAAACAAATAGTTCAAGGAACCACAGGCTTAAGAAATAAATCTGAGTTGCAGTCTATTGGAAGTAAATAGTTTAATGGAAATCATATGCATAAGTAAACACGACATAACTACCTAAGTTCCCAGACGGAAATACACTATAAAAACAAAACAAATACCACCACTCATGAACTTTGCCAGTTACTAGCAGAGTTCAAGATGCCAATACATACATACTAAAGAGGTAAAGCTAAATAGAAAAACAGTCCAAATGAAATGCGAAAAGCCTTTTACTGCAGAGCAACTCAAGTGTAAGCAAGATGCAAACAACAAAACCCACCTCTAAATAACTCCTTATCTGCTTTGGTATCAACCAGGGTAATCTTGGTTATCAAATTCTAAGTGCTAGGACAGGGCAGCACCTCTTGAATGAGTTTTAGGACATGAAGAAGAAAACAGTATTCTATGCCTTACTGTACTTTATAGATCTGATGTCTAAGGGACTTATTCTGTTGTAAAGAAAATTGTCATTTATTTAAAATAAATTAAAAATATTTTAGAAGAAAAAAGTGTTTATAAAGGTGCTTGGCAGAGAAGTCACAAACTGGCCGGGTCTCCACCATTCCTTGTTACATTCACATTATTGTTTAGAGCCTAAAGACACTCAAGTTTGTCGGCTCCGGTAGAGTCTCTCACTTGCAGTAATAATTATTTTTCCTGCATGAGTTTCAACACTAAAAGTGTCTTATAGCCAGAGGTATTAAGATACCACATCTTTGTGTGTGAGCAAATCTTGTATGACCTGGAGCTCTTGTTCAGCTGCGACCATCAGTACCCAGCCAGCTTCTTACATTCTCACTACCTTTATGACCCACTGTTATGAATTTAAAAACCAACGAGCCCAACAACAACAACAAAGTCCCAAGTTTCTTCATTTCTCTAAGCACCCGAGGGTGACCGGCCGCAGGAGGACCCGGGCGGGGGTGACCGGCCGGAGGGGGGCCCGGGCGGGGGTGACGGACCAGATGGGGACCTGGATGGTGGTGACCGACCGGAGGGGGCAGCCGGGCGGGGGTGACCGGCCGGAGTGGGAAGACGGGCCAGCGGTGACGGGTCGGAGCTGGGAGCCGGGCCGGGGGTGAGCGGCCGGAGTAGAGAGCCAGGCCGGGGGAGTGACTGGCCGGAAAGGGAGCTGACGCTGGGCGGACTGGATGGAGCCGGGAGACTGCAGTCCCTCGCGAACATATGTCCGCCAGGGCTCTGGACACCTGTCCTCCTGCCCGCCCAGGAGATCCTTACGGTCGATGCATGAGCTCAAGCTCCGGTGGCCGGTCTGGACGAGGGCCCGGAGACCGCCGGGAAGGCAGCCGAGGCTCGCCCCGAGGCGCCGGCAGCCTGTCCCCAACATCGCCACTGCAGCTTCGCGTTCAGCTAAAGGCCTGAAAGCCTCCGACCTCCGCTGCGCTCTCACTAGCTGTGCTTGCGACCCGGCACCGTCTGCCCCACTGCACCCTGGGGGTTGTAGTCCTCCCACGAGCCCTGACAACCCACGTGCAAGGTGGGCTCCAAAGGGGGCCACGACTACAATTCCCAGAAGTCCTCGGGGCCTCGGCGCCGCAGAGTCGCACCGCCCACCTAGCGCCGCGGGGTTACGCTGCACAGCCTCTGGCGCGGGGGAGGCGGACCGCGGTCACGTCTGCAGAGTGGTGGGTTTGTAGCCGGTAGATTACTTTATCATCTATATTGTCCGTTCAATTGCTCCTCATAATTAGCAAGGATAACAAGGTAACACAAGGCTTACTTACATTCACGCAACAGAAGTGTCTCTGTGGAGCCACTTTCCAGTGAACTGCATACTGAGAGAGGGATTTCTGGATGAGGACCAAGCAAAGAACCGAGAAGAGTTTAGGGCAGGTTATGCGAGACGGAAATGGCGCAGATAACGGAGGGAAGGATTTGAGGGGCTCAAACAGTGTCTGTGTTTCGCAAAAGTTGGAGACATTCTAGGCTGCCTCTCGTTGCCCCCATCTCGCTCTGCGCGGGTTTTGGAGGGCATTAGATTCTTTCTTGTATCTCCGTTGATTCCAGAATCTTCCGCACTTCAGTCTCCTGCAGAGTGACCATGTCGAGACCTCGGAAGAGGCTGGCTGGGACTTCTGGTTCAGGTGAGCTGCCCCCAGGCTGCACAGAGGCAGCTCAAGAAAGAACCTTTCTCGAAGAACGTGTTTAACACTCTTCATTTTTCACTCCCTGCTTGTTGAGAGAACCCTTTGTGATTTTTTATTAACTTAATCCTTAATCACTCTCCATCTTCTTTACGTGTCTCACCAAGCTCCTACTTAAGAGTTACTTTTTCTTGTTTATTCAGGCAATGGTTGTGACGCACAAAGACTGTTTGCGATACCAGGTGGCGTGCTAAAGAACAGAAATCCCCTGGTGGCGGGTAAACTGCAAACGTGATGGGGTTCAGAATGGATTGCTACGGTTGTGGAGGGAGGAATCACAGGAAGGCCTCGAGAAGGACGTGTAATTTGAGCCCAGCCTTGAAGAATGGGAGACTTTCCATGGGCAAAGTTTAGTACTAAGAAAACGTGAGGTCGTTTTTATATTCACAAAGATGGATGGCACTCTAAGTGGATGGAGGAGGAGGAACATAGGAAGGTGCAGGAAGTACCTCTTTTGGTAATGACAGGGGTTCCAGATACACTACAGTACATTGTAGTTATGTATCAATATGTGGTGTTTGCAGTGTGCCTGTTAACTCCTAAGGGGCCATCAGGAAACTAGGTTAGGAAGGTATACTGGGTTCAGAGCATTAGATATCCATAAATAATATTTAATGACAATTGATGTAGGGACTTTGACTAAATTTAAAGGCAGTATAGTCATTCAGTAGCTTCAGACATACCTCAGTGACAGGTGCTGACCTCATATCTTGACTCCGCCATTACTGGATGTGTGATCTGGAGCATGCGTCCCAGATGAAGAAGAGTACATCTCACAGGTTATGTAGATAAACCGAGTTAAGGTTAGGGTAACACACAGACCTTGGGCCCTGTCATATAGTAATCAAACTTAGCTACTGAATGTCTACTGTGTTCCAGGCACATTCTAATTGTCTTGGGATGAAATCGAGTCATCACTATTTCTACAATGTCCTGAATGAACTGTTTGTTTCAACTGTTATTGGCACCTTCAAGGAGCAGAAAGGAGACGGGCCATGAGCCACAGTGAGCAAGAGGGGAAGAAGCATGAGATGAGAATAATGCTTTTATTGAGCATTTATTGTAATGCCAGGCATTGTCTAGGCCTTTTGTATTTCTCATTTAAGCTTCAAAATAGTTGCAAGTAGGTGCTTAGTTTCCTTTTTCCTATGCAAAGGCATAGAAGAGAGAGTGAGGAAAGGAAAACATTGACTACTGTCAGGACCTTTAATCCTGAACAGCCCTGTAAGGTGTTCTTATCCTACTGAATACATAACCCAGAAGATATCCTGTAAGGTAGGTATTCTTGTCTAATTTTTATAGATAAGGAAAGCTTCTTAATGGTAAGATTAAGGTCCTGCAGCTGGTAATGGATCCATGATTTGAATCCAGGCCTGACTCCAAAGCATAAGCTTTTTCCATTATGAAACATTGCCTCTAACAAGCATGATCTTTTCTTTTGCTTCTCCTGTTGCAGACAAGGGACTCTCAGGAAAACGCACCAAAACTGAGAACTCAGGTGAGGCATTAGCTGAAGTGGAGGACTCCAACCCTCAGAAGACTTCAGTCACTAAAAACTGTGTGAAGAATCTAAGCAGCCACTGGCTGATGAAGTCAGAGCCAGAGAGCCGACTAGAGAAAGGTGTAGATGTGAAGGTGAGATCCTTGACCTGTCTCCAGTCCCTTCATGGTGGTTTTTAAATGGGGTTCCATCCCCAGCTTCTCTTTGAAGGGTAGGAAAAAGGTAAAAATGAATAAAATCGGCAGGGTTTATTATCATCAACTGGTTTATGAACCTATCTAGGGCAGGGGTTGGCTAACTTTTGCTACAAAGGGCCAGATAGTAAATTTCGTAGGCTTGTGCGTGTTAGTCTGTGTTACAACCCTGCCCTTGTAGCAAGAGAGTGGCCAGAGATAATACATAAACAGCTGTGGTTGTGTTAAAGTTCAACTTTATTCACAAAATCCAGCATGGGGTTAGATTTGCCCTGAAGGCTGTAGTTTGCCAACCTCAATCTTAGGTTACCTTTCTCTGACCACCTGCCATGCTCCTAGGTGTCTCCCTGCCAACAGTTGATGTATATTTCAGGGAATTTAATATAGCCTCAGAAAAATATAAGCAGAAATATTATAGAAGAAATATAAAGTGAAATGCAGGTATCCAGCAGATTACTTTATCATCTAGATTATCCATTCAGCTAATCCTCATAATTAGCAAGGATAACAAGGTAACACAAGGCTTACTTACATTCACCCAACAAAAGTGTCTCTGTGGAGCCACTTCCCAGTGAACTGCATATTTCCTCTATAGCCAGTGGCCCCTCTCACTGATGGGGAAGGAACTGTCTGCTTCCATATATGCTTACTAACTGGCCAAGGATTGTTTAATGATTGAATTTATTTTCTCTTGCCCAGTTCAGCATTGAGGATCTCAAAGCACAGCCCAAACAGACAACATGCTGGGATGGTGTTCGTAACTACCAGGTAAGAGGGTAAGGAGGAGGTTCCCTGAGACCCAGGTGGGATCAATGCCTGCCTCCTCCTCATGACTTACTCAGTAGCAGAACCTCTTGGCCAAGGTTGCCTTTTTCAGAACCAAACCTGATAATGTATTTAAAAATGCCTTAAGTGTGCCGCATGAAATCTGCAGTTTGCCTGTGTTCTGGCCAGTGTCCTGGTAAAAGTCTGGGTGTCCTGGCAAAGGAGAAGGACTTTCTAATGAATTGAGAAGTGCAAACAAGAAAAACCCATCTATTAAAAGCAGACTTGATGTCTGCTAAAAGCTAGACCTTTCCAGCTGATGGGATGATAGTTACTCTTTCTTCTCCCCTGAGACAGGCTCGGAACTTCCTTAGAGCCATGAAGCTAGGAGAAGAAGCCTTCTTCTACCATAGCAACTGCAAAGAGCCAGGCATCGCAGGACTTATGAAGGTTAGTTGGACAGGTTTTGGTGTGAATCCCTTTCCCTCCAGGGAGACTAACTTAAGTAGATATAAAGGGATACACCTTAATTAGGTAACAAAAAAGTACACTCCCCCCCACCCCATCCCCCTTGTACGGGAGTAGGGAAAAACTGCCCTGGCCCGTCCCTATATGACAACAACTGAAAACAAAGCAGGCCTTCATTTCAGGTCCCACCAGCAGACTTCACTCCACCTCTAAGTCTTCATCTCACTTGAAAACAGGCCTGATAGTAGCTCCTCCAAACTTATCAGGATAAAATTACTAACTGTGCAGGTGGGAAAAAAACAGTGGTACCAGTAATAACCTTTGCCATTTGTTTTTAGAGCATATTTTTATGATTTTTGTAAAAACAGAGTTGATTTCCTAGTCTATATATTAGACTTTATATTATTTGCAAATTTCTGAGCCCCCATTGGCTCTACAGCAAGGCAGATGGGGTAAGAATGTTCAGGGTAAGAAATGAAAGTTGGGCCGGGTGCGGTGGCTCAAGCCTGTAATCCCAGCACTTTGGGAGGCCGAGACGGGTGGATCACGAGGTCAGGAGATCGAGACCGTCCTGGCTAACACGGTGAAACCCCGTCTCTACTAAAAAATACAAAAAACTAGCCGGGCGAGGTGGCGGGCGCCTGTAGTCCCAGCTACTCGGGAGGCTGAGGCAGGAGAATGGCGTAAACCCGGGAGGCGGAGCTTGCAGTGAGCTGAGATCCGGCCACTGCACCCCAGCCTGGGCGACAGAGCGAGACTCCGTCTCAAAAAAAAAAAAAAAAAAAGAAATGAAAGTTGGATATGGATTAAAGATTGGCTGTGGAGCTGACTGCAGGCAAATGATTCAAAACATTTGTTTTGGTTTCAGATCGTGAAAGAGGCTTACCCAGACCACACACAGTTTGAGAAAAACAATCCCCATTATGACCCGTCTAGCAAAGAGGACAACCCTAAGTGGTGCATGGTAAAGACTCTGCTTTCCATTTCATGACCGGGGAAGGATGAACAAGGGGAGGAAGACGGTTGGGCTGACTGTAGGTCAAGGTACACAGCCCGGCACTTACTCAGATGAGGCGATACTGACGAGATAGGAGCTTCCTGCAGGCGGTTAAAAATACAGTGGGCAGAGTCAGCCTAGACACATCTTTCTATCATGTACACTATTGTCACATAGGTGGATGTACAGTTTGTTCGGATGATGAAGCGTTTCATTCCCCTGGCTGAGCTAAAATCCTATCATCAAGCTCACAAAGCTACTGGTGGCCCCTTAAAAAATATGACTCTCTTCAGTCGCCAGAGATTATCAATCCAACCCCTGACCCAAGGTAAGAGTGGGCCCTCTCCTATATCGTCCGTATACCAGAGTGACCTCATGAATTCCCACTTACTAGCTGATGGAACTTGGGCATGGTACTTCACCTTTCTGTCAGCATCCTCACCTGTAACATCCATGAGGGAGGGAATGTGGCCTGAGTTACCTGTTAGTATTACCCAGTACTCTACGGCGCTTGGCACCTGGTAAATAGTTTTGAACGAATGACTGCTCGCCTTAGCACCACGTAAAATGTACCTGTGCCTGGCACAACTTTCCTGTTCAAGAGGAGACATTAATACCTAATTCTTCCTTTTTCCTTTTTTTTTAATAGAAGAGTTTGATTTTGTTTTGAGCCTGGAGGAAAAGGAACCAAGTTAACTGAGATACTACTGCTAGAATGGGCAAGAAATTACTCCAAGACAAAAGAAGGTGTGGGGGGGGGCTTGCTTGTTATGCTCACCTGGGCTTGCGTAGCTAAGTAGTTTTTGTGTACTTTTTTCAATAAAATAATATCAAAGTTGAAAAACTTTTCTTCTAAAACCACACTGAGTGCAGTGGGATACCCCCCGCTGCAGACCTCTTACCTCCAGGCGGGCTCCTCTGGCCGCTCCAAGATGCAAGGCTGCCTCCGCCATCTTTCTTCACGATCACTAGTAGTTCTGTAGCAAATTGCAGGATGTAGGGCTGAGACCCTCAGTCTGGTAACACCCACTGGAATGAACTTTTCTTTCTACACCAGCCTTGCTCACCTGCCCCTTACATCATCTGGCTCCCACAGAGGTTTAAACCATCCCATGAGCAGTTCTAGGTAAATTGCCAGATAGGGATAAGAACTGAATTCATTTCTCAGCCATATGCTTGTCTCAAACAGGTGGCTAATGAAGTATTCGTCATTTTCCACCAGGAGCTATACAGGGAGAGCACAGGCACTATGCAGGGAAATCAGGGCGGGGATTTGTCTTTCCCCGAGCGTCAGAGATGGGACCGTGTAAGACGGAAGAGACCACAGAGCTTGGTGGACCATGGGCACGATGCCTCCAAAGCCACGGGGGCTTCCTTTAATCAGAAAGACCATTAAAACAAATGTTCTTATTTTAAAGTACAGCCATTGAAAAGATGACACATTAAGAAACATGTAAACACTGCAGCTGCTTAATTACAAGTTGCACTGCTTGATTTAGTACCTATGCACTCCCAGGTTTGGGGACCTTAAGAGGGGGACAGGAGCCTCCCCTCACTTTCACAGTTGGATAGAGAAGGCAAGACTGTGGGTAGAGTAAGAGCAAACAGAAGACCTGGCTTGTGCACAGCGCCTGAGAGAATCAAAGCAAATTCTACCTTCTAGTTCTCCCAGAAGAAAGGTTTAAGATGTTAGGAAGGTTGGAAAATGAACGTGTGTTGTCAGTTGGGAGGCAAAGGAATTGACAAACGCTTCTAGTTAGAACATCAGCTAGGAAACGGAGGCATACAGAGCCTGACCTCATGCTCTGAAAAGGCAAGGAGCCCAGAACCTGCCTCCCTCACCCACTTAAGCCCCAACCTTGATCATCAAGGGCAGCGCATGGGTGGTCCTGTTCCCATGAGGATTGTGCGTCGCACCTGAACACAGGACCCAGCGTGGGGGAAACAACCTTGCCTTCCTTGGTTCTGCTGCCCCCAGTCACCCTCCCAGGCTACCCCAAATGCCTCTCCCTCCAGTCTCAGCTCTGATCCATGAGCCCTGTCAAAGGCCTGAGACTGCACTGATCTCAGGAAAACAGGAGTCTTCCTTTCCCACACTAACTGAAAGGTGACACAGGAACCAACTCCTAAACTTTCCAAATTACTGAGAACTCCGACTACCAAATACTGTACCTGTTGGCCAGTGGGACCTGCTTGGTCTTTCTATAAAGGGAAGGGAGGCCAATAGGAGAGTAATGCCTGTCATTTCCAGGGGAGGCAGAAAAAGGACACTAAACAACTTTGCTACCATAGGCCCCAGCGCAGAGCCAGAGAGGGAGAAGCGCCTTCCTCTCTAGCATAACTAGAATACTCCCAAGAGTTTTTTATATGTGTTTTTTTAAACACACAATACCAATGGTCCTAAACTTGGGTCAGTCAACTGGTGAAGATGACATATTTGGCAAGCAGAATGATCTGGAAGTGTGGCAGCGGTCTTCTGCCGAGGCCCTGGTCTCCCCTGTGCAACCTACAGGGAGAGGGGTAAAGGGGCTTGGGCATTAGCAAGAACAGCCTTGCCAACGGTTCGAAACTAAACCTCAATTTCCAGAAATGAAATGGAGGGTGAGGAGAGACGAGGGTTCCCTCTCAGCAAGGCGGAGGGATCAAGGCCCCTTCCTGGGATTGCTTCTTAAGGGAAACAGGCCCTCTTGTGAAGGGCTTGTTGGGGCACATGGAGTAATACCTAGAACAGCCCAGACCTTGGGGTTACTGAGTGGAGCGACGTGAAGGCAGGCAGTTGCCATGCACTGATCTTCCTTGGTGGCTGGGTTCAGCCTCCTGGGTTCAACACTGCCGCCATCCATGCATGACACTGACCCCAGGGCTTCTCTGTTCCCAAGGCCATTCCACAGGCTTCTGTTCCAGGACATTACTGACAATCCAGAGAGGATGGAGAAGGGAGGTGCCTGGGTCCCAGCAGTGAGTGGCCAGAAGGAGGTGGCCTGTGGGAACTTCAGATCACCACATCCAAGATTCCCAAAGAGGTAGCTTCCCAATCATGAGTCTTCCCCCTGCCATTTAGTGGGGGCTGGCCCAACTCCTGCCACTACCTCAGGGACAGTAGAGGGGAGTACAAGAGGTGACCACCCAGGGCCCTGTTGGCAGCTCAGAATCCCAGGGACATGCTCAGATCCTGTATCAGGAAGCTCGGAGAGCCAGGAGCCAAGGATGCGTGCTCTGTGTTCTCTGCTCTCCCTCCTCTAAGACGCAAGGCAGCCCCGCGAGGAAGGGGCTCGTGTTCCCCAGAGGGGCTGGCTTCCAGGATGCTACCTCTCCTATCCCACATCGGCCACAGAACCCCAAGGAGAGAGTGCTTCCCACCCCGAGCCCCTTGGATTCTCCAGAAAAAAGAATTTAAGTCAAAAACATGATTTGTTTTCAGGTTGCAAGTAACGGGTCAACTGAGCCTCACAAGGTCCGCCCCCGCCCCCAGCCGCTGGTATTGGTAGATGGGGGTGCTGGGTGGATGCCCAGCATCTTCTTGGCCCTGGGGGCCTACTGCCTACAGTTGTTGTCAGACAGCTGGCTGGGGGTCCGCACATCACCCAGGGAGGTGGTGCCCTCGAAGCGCTGTGAGGCAATGGCCGCCTGGTGGGACATGCTCTTCCGTACGATGTCACCCTTCCGCCACAACACCACTTCCTGCAGAATTGAAAGGGGGCAGCGCGACACCTTAGAGGAAGGTATAGGGACAGGTTCCCAGAGGCTCCCAGCTTTGTCCTGGGGAATCTTGGGTAAGGACCTCCTCTGCTTCTCTCTGACAAAAGGCAGCAGCTGCCAGCACCTCCCTGTCCCTGGTGTGGGCCAAAAGGGCAGGTGGTTGCAGGAGCAGGCCCGAGGAAGCAGACTCTAATGCCAAGTGGGGATCCTCATCCTTGTTGTGCAATTGTGGGCGACCTGATGTTCCCACCTCTTGGCAAAAATGGAGCCTGACCTTCCAGAGGAAAGATAGCCTCTTGTTCTGTCCCAAGGGCATCGGGGCCTGGAGGAAGAGCCTGGCCCTCACCTGCTGCTTGAAGTAGCGCCGCTCCTCCTCGTCTATCAGCACCAGGTTGAGGTAATAGCGCACAGAGAACTTCTTGTTGATGTCCCGCATGGTGGGCGTGAGCTCATACCCTGCCAGGAAGAGCCGGATCGGGATGGACTCTCCTGCAGGAGGAAGGCGGAGTCAGCACAGCGGGCAAGGTGGCGCTCTCTCCCCTATGCACAGCGGGCAAGGTGGCGCACTCTCCCCTATGCACAGCGGGCAAGGTGGCGCACTCTCCCCTATGCACAGCGGGCAAGGTGGCGCACTCTCCCCTATGCACAGTGGGCAAGGTGGCGCACTCTCCCCTATGCACAGCGGGCAAGGTGGCGCACTCTCCCTTATGCCAGGTCACTCTGACCCCTGCAGAGATGCCACTGGAGTGCAGCACGGAGCACTTCTGCCTTCTGGGAAGGTGCACTCGCTCTGCTGCCCAGCAGGGGGCTGAAACAAAAACGTGACTTTCCAATTTCACTCCAGGTCATGTTGCAGCTTCTTATGTCTCCTCCAAAACAGAGAGCAGCTGAGTGGGAACAGCACAGGGGTATTATCAGTATAAGCATGTTTTGATTACATGCAGTATGTTTAGTTTTTGGGTTTTCAAAAGGCAGCTGTCAAAGTCCAGTTAAGTCACCATTTCACCCAGCATTCTGATGTCATCTTTCTCCATCCTCAGTGTATACCCCCCAAAATACATCCTCCCTCGTGTGTGGACTGGCAGGGTGGCAGGGTGGTCTGGAAAGCAGAACGTCCTCACTATGGCCTCAGTTCTGCATGAACTGCTTTTCTGATTTGTGAGTTAAGTCTGCTGCTTCCTCTGGACCTTCGTTTTCTCATGTGGAAAATTAAGAGAATCGGACGGCATGATACTATAGATCCCTTCCAGCTCTAACATCAGGCCTTTTCTAGTGTCAGTGCAACAAAATTAGGGCAGTAATTCTACCAAGAAAGGCCAAACCTATAATGTGGTCTAAAGCTAAATGTAAGCCATCTTATAATTATCTGCTGTTTTACATGGATTCTCAGTGACCCATTTCATTTGTACAGGAAAAATGACAGCTGGCTCTATTTGCACAGCCAGTGACAAAATGGGACATCAGAGAGTGTCAGGAGAGCTTGGTCCCAGCCCTCCAAGGGCCTGGCATGGTAACACCCGACTGTGTCCCCAGAGCTGCAGGCAGCTAAATCTGTGGCACTCCTCCTTCCACATAGAACAGCCTGTGGGAGTAAATGGAATAAGCCAAATAAAACCCTGGAAGCACCACGCACTTCGAAATGAAGACAGTCTTCACCATTCCTGAAGAATGGCTAAAGAGCCAATGAAGAATGTAAATGATTGCTTCTTCCAGATAATCATGGTCCCCAAATGACAAAGGGCTTCCAGCTCCACTATCCCAGATGTAACGTTAGCTCCCTGGGACTGGGAGAGGACGCTTCCAGCAAGTTCCAGGGCTATCTGGGCACCTGGTGGTGTTGGCTGAAGTATCTAGTAATGCTCTTTCTACCTGACAAGTGAATTCAGAGAATAAATCGGAGCTAGAACCGAGTCACAGACGGCTGCTGTGCAGGCATCCCTTGCTCCTGAGCAGCAGAGAATGCCAGAATGTCAACAGGAAGAAGTAGAAACCTGTTCAAACCACATCTGCTCAACCTGGACTTTCCAAAGTGACGCTTGAGGTTCGATCTTAAGTACAAGCCCAATATATTATCCAAGTCTAAGCGGAACTTTTCAGGGTGAAGATGGGATAGTAGCCTGAAGTTCTACATACTCAGCCTTCCTT